ACAGCGGTTATTGCATACCGTTTCACAACTTCGACCAACTGACTTACGATATCTGAGAATAGAGAATCCAATACCTCCGTCACTTGACATATCGACCGTGTCGATAATGATATTTGCCACTGACACTGACAAGACGCTTGCCAGCTCTAATGGATTTATACTTATTACATATGTTTTTCCCCGTAAAAAAAAAAAAACGGCATCACGATTCATTCTTCATTTTTAAGCGCGCTAACTGATCGATAGGTATCTGCCGATTGTCGCAACGTTGCCGAATGACGGATAATAGAGTTAGGAGGACTACACAGGTTTTTATTTCACGGCAGCAAGCGCACTTTTGAGTAATCTTTCACGCAGGGACCTCTCTTTCTCAATTAAGGCACGACACTCGGCGCTGAAAAATTCGCCGCAACAGTAAGCGCGGGTGAAAATCCCGACCGTTAATTTAATGTCGCTTGTCAACCGATCGTTTTCATCGTCAATCGTGCGATGCCGTGCCATGTACCAATCTCTAGTGGCGTTGGCGAATGTTAAGTGTAAAAATTGTGTACAGGAGTATAGAGATAAGAGACAAACCACCAATCGTGACGCCTGTACAATTTTGTACAGTATGTTCGAGAAAAAAAAATACAAAAAAAATAATAATAAAAAAATAATAATTGTACTCCCGCAATAACTTTCACCATAGTTATTGTATATCTCGTAGTAGTAGCGAGTCTTTTCTTCGAGCTACCGATCGCTTGTCGTCGTTTCGTTACAGATTCACAGATGTCACAGAGCTGTCACCGTGTCGTCACTCGTGCACATCTGTCTCTGATCCTCCGAAAATATCGCTCGGGCATTTGTATACGGTGGCATTGTAAAACGATTCAGAAGAGACTCACTCTCTCTCGATGTTATTTGTTAATTTTACTTTAACTTAATAAAATATATATGACAATATTATTTCTCCTCCTTCGGCTTTTCTTCTCCACGATACTCTCCGTTCTTTTGTACTGCGCGGAAAGCAGAAATGTTAGATGCAATAAGTAGTAGCGAAAAATGTACATATTTGTACGATGCGCAACGATGATTTATCGATCCTCGAAATTATCGAGAATGCAGGATAAAGATATGGATGTTTATCTACCACAAGTTGATAAAGAAGATATTAGTAATACTTGAACGGTTTCAAGGGTGTGCAAATAATGCAACGCTTAGATTTTAGCGAAAGATTTCTTATCAATGGCAGCAAAATTCGATATAAAAGTCAGTTAATTTTATCACGCATGTGTCATACATGTTGATTTGTCTCTTAAATAATTGAGTCATTGTGCTATCATACGTGAAACATGACAAGAGTATTGTATTGTTATAATAATAACAATACAACGCACGTCTACATTATTCTCCAACATTGCTTTTGCAGTTATTGTTTGCCGCATTATAAATTAAAATATTTATAAAACGTCTTACAAAAATGCCACCTGTGTGTCGTATTTTATGTGCTGCTCTACCACTTTTCTCAATATGCAAATCACGTGCTTCTCAGTGAAGCGAGGCTCAAAATGTTGCTATTTCAAGCTCACTATTGTAATTGCACGATAAGCAGAGATATGCCGGATGCTTTTCGAATAAACACGTAACCGCTCCTCGAGTAATATAAAGGAGTCGCTCTCCTCTTCTCTGAGTTATCTATGGATAACTTGACATAACCAGAACGCGAATAGACGTCGGAAGCCGTGAGTTATCTGTGAGAACGTCACGGTCCATCACCCCACGACTCGCGGATGCTCTACTCTTGCACGTTACCATCTGCACGGCACCGTTACCGCCGTGCGCTGCGCCGCGCGCCGCGCCGCGCCGCGCTGCATTGCGCTTCACTGCTCTGACTCACTGAATCGTGTTTCTCTTGCGCGGCGTACAATCGCGCCGAAGATACATTTAAGCGATCGGGCGTAATTAATCAACATCAGCGGCGACGCGTGTAAATTGAACCGCACGAATCCACTGCAACTCGTGCTCTCCGGAATTTTTCAGCGCAATCCAACACAGTTCCGACTCTCTTTCCACGCTAGAAATCTATTTGGCTTCAAATTTATTACGTTTCGCGTTTGAGCACGAATTTAACAAGTAGATCGATCATAAATTCCAATCGAATTTTTAGCTACTATCGTGCAGTCGATATTTCAACGGGTCTTTTTGATTAAATAAATGATAATAGGAATACATTAATTAGTTATTTAACGACGCGTTTTTCTTCGAATGGAAAACAACCTATTAAATTGCTGTAGAAGTATTATATTTTCAGCAATATGGATTACTACGAACAATACAACTCACCGCTTCGCTTAAGAGATCGTAAGATATTATGTATTATGTTTAATCAATTATACTAACCAATGTACTTTCGTTTTTCAGACGTTGCCGCAAGTAATTGAGCGAGTCTTCGCATAAATTTCCATGCATTGTACGGCAACTATTCAATTGTTCATAATACACGCGGCAAATATATCATTGGCAATTTATCCGCCATAAACTTTGCACATCTAATTGGCGCAATACGCAGAATATGCAACGTTATCACGTGATGCATCAGCTTTATATCAAACTTAGAAAGTGAATTCGCTCATAAATATGCAGAGGGGTTTTTTTTTCCTCGGCGAAAATTTATTCGGACATCGCGTGTTTCGCGATTCTCGCATGTTATGGACATTAAACATTCCTGTTAGCCTCAAACTTGTATGTATAATCTTATGTACATACGCAAATTTTCGCGATTAATTGAACGACGGGCGATTCTACATCACGCTTTCAGAGCTATTCGACACACTTTTCAGAAGTTCTTACGTTATTTGCTCTTTGTTTTCGCGGTGCGCGAATCACATTCGCCTCGAAGCGCAAAAAATCTACAGGCGTAACGAGCGGGTCAGTTTTTCCGATTGCTCGCGGTCAGCGGAATGCCTTGCCAATAGAATCGATGCTGATTCTCTGACACCCTTCTCATAGCTTCGCGGGAGAAAAGATCTCTGCGAAACAACACGCGAACGAGTGGTTTTCCCCGCGTTGCACCGCAGACAATGATTAGCGTCCACGTCGAATTGATCTTATGTCTAATATAATAAATAGCCCCATGGACTTTCACCGAGATGCATCGCAATGTCGAGAAGAATACGCGCGTTCGATCTCTGGAGAAAGGCCGTGTTATACAGACGTGTCTACGATTGAAAAATCGCGATAAAGCGAGAGCCTATTGACGATGAGCAGTGCGCTCATCGTGAGGTTTGGCTCTCTCGCGTGTAATTTGTAAAAATAATTAACGTTGTAAGTATGAGATTTACAAGAGGAACTCTCAACATGATAATTTGCAATTTCCTTGTAGTTCTCGAGCTTTCTAAAATTAAAATTCGCAATTTGTGTTTCCATTTGCTTATTTGCAGGTAAATCAATTATCGATTCATCTGTAATAATTGTCAAGTGTTCCGAATGTTTTCTTAGAGAATTTCTTTCGCGGAGAACTTTTTATTACGTACAAATTTGATTTTTATTTAATAATAAACTTTTTATACAATAAAAAACTTTGTCAAAGAAATTCTCTAAAGACGTTTAAAACATTACAGACAAGTGTTGCAAATGAATTGATAGTTTTATTGAATAATATTGATCTCTCCTTATTTTTCTCTATAATTAATTAATTTGGTATAATTGAAATCTCGACGTTAAGAAGAATGCGAGCATCAAAAATAAAATTGTTCAGGATGAAAAAAATTCGTTTGAGAATATGAATAATGCGCTTCGAAGCGTGCGATCAAATTTCACCTAGAATATGTCATTTTGAAAAGCTATAGAAAATAGTTCTGAAATAGTACTTATATCGTTTTCAATGTCAGAACTCGAATTGTTAGCTATCATCCGAATATGTAATTCAATTTATCGGACTATGTGAGTAACACTTACGAATAGAAAATCGAGCAGAAAGTTATGGCTTTAGGCAGCATTCAGAAATTTCTCCTCATTGGAAAGGTGAGGACACGTGCGGAGGTTCAGTCGAGGTCCGATGAATGTCAGTGAATTAAGATCGAACCGCGGCGCAGAGCTGATTGCTCTTCAACGTAGCAGTTTTTATCTCGTTCAGCATCGACTTGCAATTAGTAAAAAAAATAAGAAACTCACGGACACTTTTCTCTCGTAATATCGTTAGCATCAATTAGCAGTTTGTAAAATGCCTTCGCGCTTACAAGCACTTAGCGGTGTTAGAAACGGTTCCGGCCGCTAAGCTCGCTCGCTCGGTCTTCTTCTCGCTCGTCGCTTGCCTCCCCGCGCGCAGCCGCCGAAAAAGACGAAAAGCACAAGTAAAGTCTTAGGTAAATGTCTTACGTGTATGTACACTAGTACACGGCCGGGGAGGAGAGCGACGACGAAAGCGGCGGAGAAGGAGCGTGGAAGGAGGATCGGCGGAGATGCAGCTTAGGATTCCGAGTACACCCGAGCAGTTTCTGGTTGGTTGGTAAGTGGGACTAGCGGGGACTCATAGGCACGGAGCGTCCTACGCGAGGCCGCAGTCGGGCGCAAACCCCGAAACAATCTCATCGCGAGTTTCCTTCGAGTCTCTCTGCGTATACAGCGAATCTCTGATCGCGATCAATCTCGAAGGAGCGAACGGAACCGGCGAAGAAGGGGTGTGGGTTGCGCGCGAGACAGACGATTTGTCATTTGCGATCGGTCCGCGCCGACTATCAAACGGCTATCAGGGATCCCGGGTGTCCGATCGTGGTGCGCAAGAGTACCCGCGTCCTCACCGAGAGAAGAACCGATCGGCGGGGATTGGCGAACGATCGGGACAGGGATCGACTGGTCGACCGGCCTGTCAGTGACGCGCCGGGGTTGCGAGAGCTGCGTTACGTCTTCTTTCCTATCAGGGATCGAGGTCGAGGTCGCCGCTGAGGTCGCGGTCGAGGCGAGGTTGAAGGTCAGCCAACCTACGCGCTGCACGAGGTACGAGCTCTTCATTTTTCCTTCAAATATTAATGAGGATAATGCGCGAGACAATGGCGCGATCAACATACATATCGTCGTCGGCGCAAAAGTCGCTAATTAACGTTTGAGAATTTTATTACACTTCACAATTGTTGGCATTTTATTTCAATATGCATACATGAAACTTTTAGTGCTTGGAAATAAGAAAATATCTCTTAACGTCGCGTTATTCTTTTTTTTATGTAACACTTTAGTTTCAAAAACTCCGTTTTCTTTCCAAAGGTCTGCTCGCATTAAATCGACGATATGTATAATTCATCATCGCGTATTCGTCCATCTTCAGCATTCATCTTGTCACCTAAGATTTATCAAAACTGCCAGAATACTATTTAACGAAATACATTTTATCATTACTTTTATTCGAAACTGCTATTATATTATCCGCTAGTGTGATGATTGTTTTGTTTCAATGATAAAACAATTCCTCTTTTTATCCAAAAGGATAATTGCAATGTTAATACATTGAATATTTCGTGTTACCTGGACGCAAAAAATTCGTGGCAATCGTAGGGTGTGGATTGCTGTCTCAAAGAAAAAAAAAAAGGGGGGGAGAAAGATATATCACACGCTCGTTTCTCGTGCTGATGCTTTGTGTGTTTATTTAGTTTTTGCGGGCAATGTTCGTTCGACATCAATAATTCTAGCCAGGTAGATATTCCTTTGAACAGCATTCCGATCGCGACCACCGGCTTCGCTCCTCGTACACTTCCGTTATGATCTACGAAACGCGTCCAACTACCGGCGCTACCCATGCGAATCGAGGCGGGTGGGTGTTATTCCTTATTGAATATCTTACAAGTCCCAGATACCGGACTTTCCGTGCCCGTCATACATTCTTCTTCCCGTCGCGAGTGTTGCTCGTTTCTCTTTGGGCGACGATGATATATTATTATCACCGTATTTCTAACAACAATCCGCGAAACGAGTTATTATCCACCCAAGAAAGGAACACGCGGCAAAAGACGCTGATTAGTTTCTGGCATACGCTTTTCCGCGCCGGGAAAATAGATCGATAATCATTTGTCTTTCGGATGACTTTTAAAGAAAACGCATTTCGTAGATTAATTAATCGAATTCAAGATATTTACGTTCGAGTGCGCAAACGTCATTTGCCAAGGCTCGATTTATTTTTATTAATTTTCAACGATTATGAAAGGGGGTTAATCATGATTAGTTTTAATGACAAACACATTTTTATGTATGACGTGCATTTCTTCGACGTTACGTTATAAGCAGCCTAACGATTCGTGATTTCACCGTAGCGAATCACGAGGATGGCTACGTGAGGTACAACGAACGCCGGGCTGTGCAATAAGGAAAAGGGCTACAACACGTTAAGCCAATTTAACAAAAGATCCGTTAGGCGGTCGGCGGCGTTGACGCGGGTCGTCGCGGTTTCTCTTTGTCTACCAGGCTGCGCCTTTTGAATGGCGCGAAATCCTTTATGTCGTCGCGAAACGTGAGCGCGAACGTGAACGCGATTTTACGAGATCCGACGAGGCCTTATATCCATTGCTAATCGCGCGCACTTTTGCACACGCTCGAACGCGTTGCTTTCCTTTCAATCTCGTTAGTCCGACAAATTGCCGAAACCAACGCATATATCGCGTATCGATGTACACCTTTCTTTTTTTTTTTTTTTTTTTCGTCGGGGCAAATTAAACTCCTTGCATGATGCTCATTAACGATTAAATATCATTGAATTGCCAGCGCCGTAGAGAAATGTATGTCGAAAAAATGTGTTCAAGAAAATTAATTGTATTGATTGAGAAGTCTAGATTCGTGTTCCATGATTTGTAACTTTGCAGTACAAATAGAAAGCTGCGAAAAAAGGATATTCTATTACAGAATTCGTTATCCTCTTTTTTAATTTTTCAAAAATGTAATTGAGTTATTAAAATAAAATATATATATAATTAAATTCTAATTTCATTTTTCTTACAGAATGTGAAGTACACAATTCAATTTTACAAAATTGTGAAGAAATGTGAGTTTCGCAAGACCTCTTAATTTTATAATTTAATTATCTCGTTCGCATGACTGATTTTTAATTGTGATTTTCATATACCAACTTCCACCCAGCTTCTCGCGACACTGTAGACACATGTTTGTCGCCTCTTCAGATCTCGCCTATTCATTCTCTGAGACTCGTTTGCGTTACCGTTTTTTTCCGCGTCCTCTTCATTAAGAAAATAATTTAATTAGTATATTGTTCACGTATAAACGCTCGATGTCGCGAACGTTTAAAAACTTCGTCTGCGGTTTAAGCGTGGAAACTTTTTAACCGCAACATTCTAAGCGGTACACTGTAGCGGAAGAGCATTATGGTAGAAGTTGCGACTGCGAAAAATTCCCAAATAGCAGATAATTTCCATTGTGTATAAATTTCATTTGCCGGGAGGGAAGTAATTAGTTTTTCTCGCGATAATTCGAGTTTTATTTCATCGAAGAATCCGTGCAATGTCGCAGGTATAATTAACGAAGGTCCCGGGCGAAGAACAGAGATCTCGGATGAGAATTGCAACTTCAAAATTCGCCGAATGTATCAAAGCAATGCACTTCGTCAGAGTATTATGCGAACGGCTATCTAATCAAGGCGATAAATATTTCCACGCCACGCTCTCACTTCCGTTAGATTAAGATAGGCGAGATACGCATCTATCGTATATATGCGCAGCAACGTGAGATATATTCTAATGAAGCATAATGTCTAACATCTGATGCTCGAAGCGTGCGGTGTTGGCGCGCGCGCGCGCGAGCAGTTTGATACGGCCTTGTAAATGCAACGAAATAACGGTCGGTTCGTACCGAATGACCCAATTTCACCACCAATGTCGTATGGCAAACGTGCGATAACTGTTGCGGCACAAGACCGCGTGCGGACAAGATCGAGCGCGTGAAAGGAAAATACGTGGGTAGGCAGGTAGATAAGCGGTCAGCCCGCCATGGACCGATGCGTGGACATCCAGGAAGGCGAGGAAATAAATAAATAAACGCCTCTCTCCCACCCGTCCACTTAATTTCCCATCTGTCGACACAAATGTTTCGGTCGACTAAACGAAAACCGGGTCATTTAACCCTTCCAGAACCGAGAGATCGACGGAAATATTTATTCCTTCGAAAAAATGCGGAGAATAGAATAAAGATAAGTTTTTTCTACGGAAAAAAGTCAGGTGTGAAAAGATACGAAGGATAAAAATCGCGATCGAATCGGTTGACGAATCATCGCCGGGAGACGGAAATCGATTTCGAGATTACCGAAGAAATGAAATAACAGGCGAAAGAAAGGATGTTTATAATTGCAGATATGTCTCATTTATTCATTCCGCGCGGCGGAAGTTGCACGATGTCTTTAATCCGTCATATCGCGAGTGCATTAGATCAGAACGTTCTCCTTGTAATGAAGCTTCCATCTTACCGTCTCTCTTTCGACTCGCACTTGACGCACGATAATTATTTCGACCGCTTGCCGCATTTCGTATGCATAGATATCGCGCGTGTTATTAACTTTACGCGTGTTATTACGTTGGAGAGGAAAATTTTTATTCAGCTACACAACAAAGAAAGAGTGCTGCGGCGGTAGCGCAACGAGGAAAGGAGAGCGCAGATGGGTATAGAGAGGCAGACAGACGGAAAATTACGGAGACGAGAAAGAAAAACGGTAAAAGAGAACGCGGATTACGTGCTTACGTCTGAAATCCGCGGTGAGTACTGCGCGTACTCGAGTTAGCATGTACTCAATTGCGACAGAAAAATCTAATTACCGTTGCGAGAGCGAGAGCTCTGCCCTGTTAAGGCCATTCCGAAGTAAACATCACTTCGGACACAGCGAGCGCATACGGGAAGACGCGCGTCCGTTACGTTCGATATTATCGCATCGGCATCGCGTAATCTGCGCAAACCGCAGAGATATACGATCTATAATCCTATCCTACATTCGACGTTATTGACATGAAACAGCGAAAGCTGCGGTGATTTTTCGATCGGGAGAAAACACGGAAGAGAAATAGGAAAAGAGGCTTATCGCTCAGAAACACAAATGAGCGAGCAAACGCAAAAGTGAACATGTTACTTCGCGAGCTATTTTTTTTTCGACAATATTTTCATTCGTAAATAAAATAGAAAGCGCACGACTTATGCAGGCGTCTCTTTGTGAATTCCTTTTTACAGCGGCCGAAAGATAGCAGACGAATTGCTCTCATTCTTTCGCTAAAGAAAAATCGATCCGCAATATTCGCGAAAGGATCAGTCTTTGAAGGAAATCCGTCAGTTCTGAGATATCCTGTACATTATTATACATTTCACGTCGTCTACATATTTCCTGTGCCATTTGCAGGTTCGCGGTGGAAAGAGAAGCCTCGTCGGTAAAAAGAACTTTGGCGAAAGAAGTGCTACACGTAAAAATACATAGCGGAAGAAGCTTATTTCCGAAGGAAGTGCCTAAGATGCGTGCTCTCCAGTGTTGCGTTTGGTTCGCGCTGCTAATGGCAGTGTCGGCCGTGCCGGCGTCGTCGAAAGGACGTCCGGACGATCCGATCAGAGGGAAAAAGACCACGCCGATCCCGCCAATCAGCGGCAACAAGATCACCTCGCCGATTACCGCAACGACGTCGCGACCGAACGCCACGCTGCCGTATGCGAGAAACGCCACGTTGCATTTATCGTCGCCTTCCTTCTCGCCGCTTTCCTCGACAAGAGCGTCGTCCGCGACGACGGCGGCGGCGACGGCCGTCACATCCCCCACGACGATGCTCAAGCTGCCGTCGATCTCGCCGTCGACGACAACGACGACGACGACAAGGGCGACGACGAGGACGACGACGAGGACATCGATCGCGACATCGGCGTCGACGGCGAGTCTCGCATCAAACGCGACACCCCAGGGCGATCCGCAGGGCGACGGTAGAACGGCCGTCCCCGCCTTCACCGAGACCTCCCCGAGGATAATCTCGCCGACTCAACATACCGCCGCCACCGTGCTGTCGTCGAGAAAATCAGCAGCCTCCGCCACCGCGGCGGCGGCGGCGGCGGCCGCCTCCGCCTCCGTTGATGTCACGACCACCGCACCACTGACGTCGGCCAAGGAGACGCGAGAGTCGCCCGGAAAGATCCGACCGCAAATCAAGCTGACGACAAATTACACGAGCGAGGTAAGCGCATTAATCTTGAACGAGCGAAGGCGGCTGGCCTGTCTGCCCGCCACCGGCGGCTTTCCCAGTCGTGTTTCTCGCATTGTTGTTCCGTTTTGCCGCTTATAAACCGCTCAACTATCGTCGGCACAGATTCCCCCCTCCCCCCGCCCACGTGTAATTGCTTTAAAATGAACGGACGAGCGAATCGCGGACTCGCGGCGAAATATCGAGGCGCTGATTGATTTGCGCATTAGCTCGCCGATCCGCGAAATTCCGCGAAAATTGTTTTGCGCGCGGTGCACGCCGCTGCGCGCAGATCGCCGGCGTACAGATCGAAACGCGAAATGATTTTCGAAACGCCGACGACATTCTTTTCACGGTTTAACGTAAAAATCAAGCGTGGCGCGTGATTCGTGACCCGGCAAATTCCGCGGGACGGAAGGGAAGAAGAAAAAAAAACAGAAATCATCCGGAAGACGAGCGGAAGACGAGTCTGCTCGAGAAAATAGCGAGGAGAGAAAACCAGCGCGCGTGGAGATATTCGCACGATGACGTTCACGGAACACGCGGATAAGTTCGTAATATATTGCATCTGTCATAACTCGCGCAACTTGGCGATCAAGATTTCATCCTTTAATTCACACCGAGAGAGAGAGAGAGAGAGAGAGAGAGAGAGAGAGAGACATTGCATTTCTCGTCGAAGAATCTTGAAAAACCTTGTGCCGGAAGCAGCGCGCGAAAAATCGAAATATTCCAATGGGATCCAAAACTGAACGCACTTTAATTACGAACGAGCGATTTACTTCTGCGGAATACGGTAAAAGGACGGCGTGTGCACGCGTAACGGGCAGCGCGAGTCATTAATAATAATTAAGTATTACATGCGACATACATGGTTAAGACATTAGGAATGCCTCTCCTTCTTCTTTCCTCTTTTTTTTTCGTTCCTCTATCGGAGAAAAATCTCGAGTCCCCCGCGTTTGCATTCGCCGGCCCCCCCTCCCCCCACCCTACCTCGAGGCGAGCAGCGGAAAAGCGTGTACCCGATGATGCGCGATAGAAAGGCACCCAGATTCATGTTTATACCAGCCGGCCGTGGCGGATCGAATGGGGTTTGAGGAAAAAAATCGCATATAGGTCGAGACCGAGAAAGTAGCGTGCGCACCATACGTACACTGTGTAGAAAATGCGCTCTACGTGCGCACCGCCGCCGCCACCGCCGCCGACAACAACAACGACGACGACGAAACGAACGGACGGACGGACGGACGGACGGATGCGTGCGTGCAAAATAGCACAAAACGAGAAAGTAATTCGACGTACTCTTGCGACGACTCGACGGGATAATTATCGCGGTTAATCGAGTGTGTGCTCGTAGATTCCTAGACGGTCGCGATAAGCGCGCGAGATGAAGCGGGCAATTGGGTCATCTCGGGGGAATCTTCCATAGCCGAGAGGGAGAAGTCATTCTTTTGCAATCGCTGACTTTTGCAGGCCGGCTTCAATTTACATGTTTCAAGATTGTATACGACCTTCCTCTCTTTTTCTCTCTTTCTCTCACCCCTCCCTCTTTCCCCCCCCCCTCTCTCTCTCTCTCTCTCTCTCTCTCTCTCTCTCTCTCTCTCTCGTCGTACGTCGTACGTAC